TTTGGCTGCATTTTCAAATATCAGGCCCAGTGTTTTCCCTCAAATTCGTGACACACTGCAGGAGGCGCAGTGCTTTCCTGTTGAAGCCCCGGGTCCCCAGGCTCACCGGAAACGCGCCGCTTTCCTGCTTCCCAACTTTTTGGGTACTTTAAAGAATCACCCAGGAGCTCCCGAATGCCCAGGTGCCTGGGTCCCACCCCAGGCCTGTGCTGTCAGAATCACCGGGGCCGAGCCTGGGCGTCTAGGGATTTCAGCAGGTGACTCGGAGGCCCAGGAAATGTGGACACCACCTCACGGTGCTCGTGGTGCCACCCAGTGGGACAGCAAGACAGGGAGGCAGAGAAAGTTGGCTTGAGAAACAGCCCGCACCCCGAGGCCCAGCCAGGCTGCGATCCTGCACACGCTGCGGACACCGCTTTACAGTGACTCACAAGCAACACAGACCACTGCCACCTTCGCCCGTGCCTACAGGCCGAGCACAGGGGGCCGGGGACCTGGAGCACAAGGCGCAGACTCCCAGCTGTGTGGGCCTGGCTGAGGCCCCGCTCATCTCCATGTCCCTGTCATAAAACGAGGACCCAGGGTGTCCTCTCAGGTTTCTCCTTGGAAACCCTCTGGGCCCTGGAGATCTGGATGACCAGTCCAGAGAGCCCGGGGACAACAGGCCCTAAGTCTTGCATTTAACTTTTAAAATATGCTGGAGTTTTGCATCAGAATCTATGGCTCTTTGACATAAGATCTTCCCCCAAAAAAGTTCAAATAACAGCCCCCTCAAGTGCCCCGGGAAAACGAATGTTCCCGAAAGAAGCACCGGTCTCAGCTCTGGGGTCCATTCAGCTGCCCTCGGCCCACAACTCCCTGGGTGGGAGAAGACCCAGATTTCATCTTCTTTTAAAATGTCTATATTTTAACAGGACTAACACACGTCCACGGAAAAAAATAATAACAATGAACATAAGTTGGCCTGCTGGGAAAGAGGCCTCTCTCCACCCAGCTCAGCACGCCCAAAGCAAGTCTGCAGTCCCCCGGTGAAATCCTAAGGGGCGTCCTCGGCCACCACCCTGGCTCTCCCTCCTGGGGGCCACCCTATGCCTGGTTTCGCAGTAGCCCAGCTTGCTCTTATATGATCTCAGGATTCAGGTAACTTGTCCCGACCGGCGGACATTCAAGTTGTCTCCACCTTTGCTGTCACAGGCAATGGGACAAGACTTTGTGGATCTGTAGGCACAGAGGAGGTACAGGAGCAAAGGGTGTGCATTCTATGTTTTGGTCCTTCCTGCCTAAATGGAGTCCAGGGATGGGGGAAGCTACCCAGGCCCCACAATGCACGCAGGCTTCTGGCCTCATCCAAGAGAAACTGTCCCCCAGCACTGCCACCTGCCGCCCACACTGGGAAATGCAGCCTTCCTGTGTCCAGCCCTGGCGCAGCCACCCACCAACTGGTCTTGACAAGTGCTCTCGCCTTTGAGCCTCAGTTTCCTGATCTGCACAGTGGGCCCTGAAATACCAATCTTCCAGCAATGACAGGAGGGCGCAATAAGACAATGAGTTGTGTTTAAGAGGCTGACACGGATGACAGCTCACAAAACGGTGAGAGAGACCTAAAAGAAGTGTCATCCCCGCAGCCAGGGAAATGCCACAAAAGTGAGAGGCCCCTTTCCCACGTCAGACTGGAAGGACTTAACTTGCTAACGGCATGTTGACAAGGTTGTGACAAAAATCAAATCGAAACAATAAGCCACCAGCCTCTGCCCATCAGACTGGCAAACCAACAACCTCAATGAAGAAGCTGGATGCACGTGACTGGTTCCGCGGGCAAGTGGGGCGCTAAGGAGACCTCGGTAGACAGAGAGGAAAGGCCTGAGTGGACAGGCCAGAGGGTGGCGCACGCCTGTGACCCCAGTGGACGGGAGGCTGAGGCAGGAGGATCGCAAGTTCAAAGCCAGCCTCAGCAGCTTTGCGAGGCCCTGAGCAACTCAGTGAGTCGCTGTCTCTAAATAAAATACAAAAAGGGCTGGGATGTGGCTCGGTGGTCCAGTGCCCTGGGTTCAATCCCCGGCAGCAAAAAAAGAAAACAATAAAAATAATTCACGGCTCTGTGTGTTTGTGTGTGTGCGTGTGCATGTGTGTGTGCGTGGGGGTGGGCACCTGTGTGGAGAGGCGCTGCAGGGCTGCTCCCGGGGAGTCCTGGTGCTGACCTCTGAGGAGGGCTGGAGAGGGTGGGGATGGGAGAAAGTGGGGGACCCTTACTGCTCCCTCAGATCATTCTGCGTGGCTTGAGTTTCGATACCAAGCATGAACTACTTGCAAATTTCTTAAAAAGCAACTTAAAACAAGAGAAAGAACACACGAACACTCCCAGGCCCCACTCCAGAGTGCTGAGCTAGAGTTCCCACCAGGAGCCCACCTGGCCCAAGCCCCGCGGGGGTCCCCACCCCACAGTGGGGACCTCCCCGCCCCCGAGGACATTGCACCCTCCTCCTGTGTGGCCCCTGTGTTCAGACCTCTGACTCCTTCTGCCTGCCCACCACCCACAGGGACCCCCGGGTGCTCACCCACTGACAGGGAGCCTCGCGCCAGCTTGGGGAGCATCAGGTCCAGCTGGCGGAAGGTGTGGTAGATGTCGGCCGAGTGGGCTCTGTCCTGGGCCTGGCTCTCCTGGGTGTGTGGGGACGCCTCCACTCCATACAGGGTCAGGTAGCCGGCTCTGGGGCGACAGAAGCAGGTCAGGGTCCTGGGGGACACACACGGCCTCGCCCCCTGGTGGCCTCTAAATTGTCTTCACTCCTTCCCCCCAAGGAGCTCCTGGTCTTCCTCCTGTGTGCCAGGGCATGTTCCTGACCCAGAACCGACTTTAAGAACAGACCAGAGCCCTGTCCCGTGGACTCCCGCTATGGTGTGGGGACAGAGGAAGCAGGAAGGCAGTGGAAACGCCATGTGCGCCAGCTCCATGGTGCGTGTCTGCAGCCCCAGTGACTCAGGAGGCTGAGGCAGGAGGCTCAAAAGTTCAAGGCCAGCCTCGGCAATTTGGCGAGGCCGTGTCTCAAAGCAAAAAGGGTTGGGGTTGCAGCTCATGGTGAAGTGCCTGGGCGCACACTCACCACCCCAAGAGAAAACTGAACAGGCAAAGAGCAGCATGAGGCAAACGGATGACAGGCAGACTCAGGCGGGCAGCAGCAGGGGCGCCTGTGGGGCGGCTCCCAGTGGAGCTGAGGGATAAGAAGGAACCTGCTTCGGGGCAGCCCCGGGGCAGACCTGGGGCAGACTTCTTGGGCAGCAAGGGCCAGAAGTGATGAAGCAGTAAGGAGGCTGGGGTGCGGGAGGCGAGGGGTGAGATGGGGCACCAGTGGGGACAGGAGAAACCGTCCCAGGAGGGGGTCGGGGCAGGCTTCCTGGAGAAGGGGCCAGGGGAGGCGAGGTGTCAGGCAGAGGGCGCAGCCTGGGCCAAGGCCAGGGGCTGAGGGGCAGCGGAGGCCTGCCCAGAGTTGCTGGGTGTCTCTGGCAGGCACCGGAGCTAGGGACGGGGCCTGGGAGGTGTCCAGGGGTCTTGCAAAGCAGAGGGGACATGGAATGGGAGAAGCCCATGCTGGAGCTGAGGGACCTTGGGAGGTCTGAGCTCAACCAGGCTCAGCCAGGTGTGCAAAAGGACCAGGCCGGGAGCCGACGTGCTCAGGTGTGCGAGCAGCAACGCACCACCTGTGGGGCCACCTCAGGGGAAATGCCCCCCCAAGCCCTTTCCAGTGCCCCAGGCGCCCGGTGCCAGCCCCAGGCCCTGGCCTCAGTCCTGGGAGGGAAACCGCAGGTTTTCACTTTTTCCACATGAGAAGGGCTGCGGCCGTGGCAGAGAGCCACCACTGAGGTCCCAACCTCCTGTCCCTCGCTCCCCTACCCCCTGACCCCATCCCCTAGATCTCCCAGGACAGAGGTCCTCCCAGCTGGGGACAGGGGGGAGCAGGCATGCGGGAAGGGGGGCTGACAGGGACCACTCTGTCCCTCATTAGCACAGCACAGGCCCAGGGTGGCCCCGACACGTTGGTGGGTGGGTGGAGGAGCGCATGGTGGGTGGGCAGACGGACAGAAGGACAGGGTCAGAACAGAACCCTGAGAGCCCTGACCATGAGAGAATGACGGGTCACCACAATTAGGAGCCGAGCCACCAACCCCCATTCCACCCCCACCCCTGCCGATCCCACTCACCCCCCGTCTGCCTGCGTTGGCTTCCATGCCCCCAGGGATGGGGACCTCACTGCGGGTCACAGCCCTCCCCACGACCCCCCTGGTCCAGCCCACCGGAGCTCCCTGTGCCTCCGCCGGGCTCCCCCTCCCCTCCACGCACGGCAGGCCTGGGCCCTCTGCAGATTAAGGCCCTCGGTTTGCTCATGGCAGACACTGCAAGGAGGCAGCCCACCATCTGGACGCTCCGTGGGGTCCGCAGAGGTCACCTGAACCCCGGCTGAACCTGCGCTCAGACGTCAGAAGAAACCAGGGCAAAACCTGGGTCTCCCAGTCACCGCTAGAAAGGAAGCTGGTCATGGTCCGCGGACCTGGCAGGGCAGTGCCATGGCCACTTCTTCTAGACAGCAGGTGCTCGCCAGGCAACCACGGACCTCGCCTGGCCCGGGTCTGTCACGGGTTTAAAGTACGGCTAAGCACCTGGGTCCCTATCTTTCGGGCTCTGCTGTTTTCCCTAAGGCAGAGAGCCAGTCCCACCAAAACAGGCAACGAAGAACAGCCAAGCACACGAGCCCAGGGGACCACGGGGCCTCACGCTGTGGAAGGCCCTTCCTGTGGAAGGCCCTTCCGTGGCACCTGGTTCCAACATCACGCCCAGCAGACAGCGCCGGCATGCGTAAGTACACAGGCGACCCCTAGGTGGCGCCAGGTTCCATTAAAAATGGACCCAGATGGACAACAGGAGTCTTCATGTTGATGACCTGGGTGTCCAACAGGCCTCTCTGGGCAGCTGGCACTGGAGATGAACTGACTAAAGTGAGGAGGGAGCCACATGGACATGTGGGGAACAGCATTCCCAGGCAAGGGAACAGAACTCCTGATGTGGGGCGCGTGCCTGGCGGGAGGGAGACTGGGCCACGGTGGGACGTGAACTCACAAGCAGAAAGTTAAGGAGGCACTTTCACAAGCACCCTCACCTTAGGTTTGACCCAGGAGCCATCACACCCAGCGCTTCCCACCTCCCCCTTCACCACCGCCCCTCCCGCACCCGAGGTCTGGTCTCTAATCGCAGCCAGGGCAGCTGTCAACCCCTGAGCCGGTCCTGTCTTGCCCCAGCCTAACCCCTAGGTCACTCTATCTTACTGAGAGCAAACCCGGAAGCCCTTCCTGGCCTCGAGCTCTATGAGACCGGCTATGTGACTTCTCCACCTTGTCCCTGAACCAGTTCTGCTCCAGCCACTCGGGCTCCCTAGGAATCCCACGTCTGGGCCTTTCCACTTGCCAAGTCCCCTGCCAGGCCCTTGGCACGGGTAGTGGGTACCCTGTCGTGAGGTCTCAGCTCTGAGGCTGGATCCTCAGAGAGGCCCTTCATCAGTCTGGCTGACGCTGCCCAGGGGCTGCCACCCGTGGGTCTCTGTCCCCACGTCCATCACTCTCTGGCATACAGAGTCCATCTGTCTTGTCCCTGCTGTAAACCAGAGCCCAAGACGGCTGGGCACAACTGCGGCACAGAGCTCGGCCCTGCCGTTTTCACAAGTCTAGGAGGTCTGACCTCGGCCGAGGGCCTGCTGGGCTCCCAGCACCCTGTTTCCCGGCCTGCGAAATCCCAGAAGGTGGGAGCCACAGGACAGGTGCCTCGGAGTCTTGCTGGGCTACCCCCTCTCCAGGTGACCGCAGGGCCCTTTCTCAGCCGTGCCTGATTTTCGGCTCAGCCTGGATCAGGTGACCTTGGAGTTTCAGGTGCACAGGGTCCTTCCTTCATCGGTGGGCATCCCAAACCGCCCCCGCCCAGAGTGCTCACGGTTCACTCAGCCCTGCCCGCGGGGACGAAGATCCAGAGGGTCAGGCCCCACCCAGGACAAGGTTCCGGGGCTCACCTGAGCAGGGAGCCGTAGCAGAGGTCCAGGAGGCCCACCTCCCGCCAGCCGCTGGCCCCTTCCGTGGCGTCGCCCAGGAGGACGGAGCGGAGGTTGGTGAACATGGCTTCCGTGAGCGCCTGCAGGTCTCTGTGGACGAGCGTCCTGAGCCGGGCAAGGGCAGCGTGAGAGCCTGGCTCCCAGGGGGACACCCGCGCCCGCAGCTCCCCCCAGGCCCCAGGCCACGTCCCAGCGGCAGCTGGCCTGGCACCCGTCACAGCAGTGCTTTACAGTGCTGGACACAGAGACCCAGTCCACACTCGCCCATCCACCGTACCCATCTCGGAACAGAGAGGAATGGGACACGCCCAAGGCCACACAGCCGTGACAGCTGGGACTGAAACCTGTGTGTGGCTGCAGGGCCTGTGAGCCGCACCTGGGCAGCCCATCCCGACTGGGCACTGGAGCTGGGCCAAGGAACCCCGCCTCTGGAAGAGCAGGAACTAAGAGGCCAACCCTGGAGTGAGGGGTCCTGTCTGCTCAGCTACAGTGTCCCCTGACCAAGGGCTGCTCTGAGAGGGGACCCCAGTGAGGGTGACATGAGGCAAAGGAAGGGGCTGGTGACCTGGTCCCATCACGTGGACCCGAGTCGGAGGACAGAACAGCCCTGGGAGTGAGGGCAGAAGTGGGGGCCCTCAGCCCCTCCCGGGGCAGGCTCCACACTGCGCGGGATGGGGGAGAGGGGCCGGGAGGGGAGGTGGTCCTCGTCCAAGGCTCCTGGGGACCTGGACCCTGGCCGCGGCCTGCTCAGCAGCGGCACCTGGCGGCGGCGGCACGGACGGCAGGCGCGGGGCCCGGGGTCCGCTTAGTTTCCGGGGGTTTCTGGTCCTCAAAACCCACTGCGCTGGGCACCTGCGGTGCAGCCCGCACCACCCGCCTGCGCCCAGGGCGTCCGGCCACTCACGGTCTCATCCGGGCCTTCTCCTCGGTGGGGCTGTAGTGCGGGAGCTGCACGTCGAAGATCCTCTCCATGAGGAAGGTGGCGTAGGAGTGGAAGTCCAGCCGGGAGCGCGGCTCCCATGCCACCCTCTCGTAGGAGTGGGGGTCCAGGAGCACCGTGACGTGCCGGCCCCCCACCAGCACCTGCGGGGGGGGGGGGGGTGGCCCGTGAATACAGCGGCTCCCAGGGCCGGCGTCCCGGCCTGCCGCCACCCCTGAGGCGCGACCTTGTTCTCATCTCCCCTCCGCCACCGCCACCGTGAGCTAGGGACGGTCGCCAGCCCACGGGTGCCACCAACCCGAGGCTCACAGCGCAGATGCCAAGTGCCCGAGATGTCACGGCCGCGAGGGGCAGGGCCAGGGCTGAAGGCAGGGCTTTCTAAAATCAAGGGCTGCGTCCTAACCACCCGCTGCAGGCGCCGGCAGGGTCACCTTGGCCAGGCGCGTCGCGGGGTCGCCTGCGGAAGGCCGCGCAGGCCCAGGACCTCGTGAGGGGCCGCGGGAGGGAGATGACGGTGGGCGGGCTGCGGGGGTGAGGGGTGCAGGGGGCTCAGGGACCCCACGCTGGTCTGCGACGGGGTGGGCAGCCAGCGGACGGGTGGAAGCTAAATGTGTGGATAAATGTGGGGCCCAGGGGCGACCGCAGTGCGTCCATCTCCGGTGAACAGGTGGAAGGGGGAGCGGGGTCCGGGAGGCTGGAGGGAGGTGTGCAGGGGGCCGGGCGGAGGCCTGGGCAGGTGGAGGCCTGGGAGGGCGGAGGCCTGGACGGCGCAGAGCCGACAGGGATGGGCAGGGCGCGCGCAGCTGTGCAGGCGGGTGACAGGGGTGGGTGGACCGACTCTGGGCTAGAAAGCCGGCGACGTGGCCGGGAGTGAGGATGCTGGGTAAGTGTTGGGAGGCAGACAGGGACCTTGTGGGTACGGGGAGAGGCTGGGGCAGGCGGCGGAGGAACACCGCGGGGTGTTGGGTGGAGGGTGCTGGGCAGCCGTGGGTGGGAAGGCAGAGGAGGGAGGGACGCGTAGCCGGATGTTGGACAGACGGAAGCCGAGTGGACGGGCAGCTGGAAGGACGCCGGGGTGTGGCAGACCCTGAAGGTCCGCGCAGCTCAGTGTGGGAAGAGGCTGGGGGACACCGAGGGTCGGAGGTAAGGGAAGCACAGCTGGACAGACAGACAGACTGGGGGTGGGGTGGGGTGCTGGTGCAGGTGGGGGCTGGCAGAGTTCAAGGCACTGCCCCCCTCCCCCCAGAGGCACTTACGGTAAAGATGTCGCCGTGCTTCTCCTTCATCCTAGCGAGGAAGCTGGCCGCATCTCTCCCAAACTCCAAGGCGTGGCCCAACCAGGGGATGCTGCCCAGGTCCAGGGGAGGCTCGCCAGGTCGCCTGCAAAACCCACAGCACTTAGTAAAGTGAGGAAGGAGAGGAAGAATGCCAGCGTGGGGAGGTCAGTGGGGAGGTCAGGACAGGCTTCACCATGGCAGCGGGGACCTGGAGGCCTTGAGGGAGGAAGGCACTCGGGTAACTGGAAGAGCTTTCCAGGGAGAGAGAACGGCAAGTGCAAAGGCCCTGTGGTTGGATCACACGTGTTCAAAGGACAGTAGGAGGCTGGTATGGCTGGACTCAGGGGCCAAGGGGCAGCAGTGGGTGCTGAGATCCGAGGCGGGGGCAGGACCAGAGTCATCTGCTGTGGGAGCACTTCTGCTTTCTCTTTGAGGTGGGAGCCATGGAAAAGTTTGAGCAGTGGAGGGACCTGGCTTAGGTGGAGCTGCTGTGCAGAGAGTGGACTGTGGGTGGACACGGAGGCTGGGCACCCAGCAGGCGACCACCTCCCTGCAGGCGGGAGGAGTTTCCACACCCCACAGCAGCAGGAGTTTCTGAGCCGGCCTGGACCAGGGTGTCGGTCACCTCACACCCTGCCCTGCCCACAGGGATGAGAGAGAGCAGTCTGCTGCCCCCAACTGCCCCTCGCCAGCTCCGAACCTGAGGCGCCTGGGGCAGCAACGCCAGGCCAGGTGTCGGGCGTGGGCGCTGGCGGAGCAGGGCAGGGAGGTCGTGTGTGCCAGTCAGCCAGCCCCTGGGTGGGGTCCGCATGCTCAGCCACCACACCCTGTGCGAGGGGGGACACTGGGGACTGAGCGGGGACCACACTGAGTGTGGTGCAGTGGACCTGAAGGAAGGCGCATTTCCCTCGGTGGCCCAACCTGACCACAGGACAGGGCTCTTCCCGGCAGAGAGACTCGAAGCCTAAGTGGGAGGGGACATGGGAAGTCTGTCACTGGCTTCGAGGCTGGTAGGGACCCCAGGGCAGGGAACGTGAGTGGCCCCCAGGAGCCGTGAGTGGACCTTGATTGACAGCAGCATGGACGTAGGTCCCTAACCTACCCAACGCCAGACCCTCCCTTGGGCTTCCAGTGGAAAGGAGGCTGCGGCCACCTCAGCCTCAGCCTCAGCCTCCTGGGCCTCCGACAGAGAGCCCCGTGGCTCCAACCTCCAATCGCAGGACTCAGCCCCACCTGGGGCTCCTGGCAGGCTCTAGTTGAAGCTGCTAAGTGCACAGCGTTTGCTACGTTTGCTGCGCAGCAGTGAGTAACTACTACACTCAGACTCGCACCGCTCGCGGCCCGGCCGCAGGCTTCCCATCCTCTCCACCCCTCTGCGACAGGGACCCTGCGCTAAGCTGCACTCAGGGTCACACAGCAAGCCTCACTGTATCGTGGGGCAGGTGTTCACAGTGGACCCCATGGAAGTCCCTAGCCCAGGTGAGGACCCTGTCTCAGAGTTATCAGAGCAACAGGGTGTGGAAAGTCCGGCCCCAGCTGCTGAGAGGATGCAGGGACAGGGAGCTATTCACCCCAAGCAGGTCCCGGGCAGGGCGCTGGAGACAGCAGGGAGCAGGGCCTTGGAAGACAAGACAAAAGCAAGACAGAAAAGTCGGCCGCAGAGTGGCAATTCTGATGACAAAAATAAAGCCCGAGACCCAGCTCAACAGTGAAAAAGCAACCTGGTTTAATCATTAATGACGGGCTGGGCGTGTGGCCCGCGGCAGAGCCAGCCAGCAAGCACGAAGCCTGGGTTCCCTCCCCAGCACCAGAAATGAACAAAAATTAAAATGAAGGAAGGATCTGAGCAGGCGTTTCTCCAAGGGATGCACAAGTGACAGATGCCAAGACCCTCGAACTCAAGTCACAATGAGGCTGGGGCAGATGGTGCACACCTTCAGTCAGGAGGCTGAGGCAGGACGACCGCAGGTTCAAGTCCAGCCCAGGCAACTTGGGGAGGCCCTGCCTCAAAATGAAGGATAAAAAGCTGGAGACGAAGGTTGGTGGTAAAGCTTCCCTGGGTTCAGTCCCCAAAAAACAAAGAAAGGAAAAGAAAAACAAATCACCATGAAGTGCCACTTCATGCCCACCAGGATGGCGGTTAGACAGTGTTAACATTTTTTAAAAGAAAAATGAGTGTTCACGAAGATGTGGAGAAGTTGGAGGCTCCCCGGAATGTAAAGGGCAGGCCGTCTCTGAACACCAGCCTGGCGGGGCTCAAAGGGTTACCACGTGACCCAGTGATGTGCCCTGGCGTTATCCGCAATAGCCAGAGGGGACACAAGCCAACCGTCCATGACTGACGGGCGGGTGAGCCCCGTGTGGCATATCCAAGCCAGGGACGTTACTCAGTCATAAAAGGAGTCACTGAGTCACCACTAGGGCTCGGGCGAGCCCTGGCCATCACGCCAAGGGAAAGGAGCCAGACCCAAGGGCCACGTGCCGCACGACTAGCTGCCACCCATGCCCAGAGCAGGTGACTCCACAGACGGGAAGGAGATGGGTGGTGGCCAGGGCCGAGGGGAGGGGACCAGGGAGCCACGGCTAGTGGGAGGTGGTTCTGTGGGGGATGTTGAAAACAGTCTGGAACTAGGTGGTGGTGGTGGCCGTCCAACCCCGTGACTACACTAGGAACCAGTGAGCTGCCCACTGTCAAAAGCACACTTTAAAAGGGTGAGTTTTGTGGTTCGTGAATTACACCTTATTAAAGAAAAAAGAAAGAGGGGTGATTGAGACAGTGGGAGTAGCTCAGAGAAGGTGGTCAAGGACAGCCTCCTCAGGGAGGTGCCATGTGAGCCACGGCCAGAAGGACTGGAAGGGACACTCAGGAAGGGTGTGAGAGGAGCCCTATAGATGGAGAGAATGGCAAGTGCAAAGGCCCTGGGGTGGGAACACTGGGTTTTAAGACAGCGGGATCTGGTGTAGCTGGAGTGGAATGTGCAGGTGAGACACAGGCAGTGATGGCGGGAATGTCCTCGAGGACCATAAGGGCCTGAAGCCAAGGAGAGTGTGGCTCCTGTGCCACATGCGGTGGGGATGGGTGGAGGGTTGGAAGTGGGAGTCAGGAGGCGAAGCCTGTGTTTTAAGAGAGGCAACAGGAAGGAGGCTGCGTGGCCACCCAGGAGGGCAGGCCCAGCACCTGACCCCCCACCCCAACTTCTCGAGCAGGGGGTCCCTGCGCAGGCAGCACTCTGGGGACAGGCCAGCAGGTTCCCTCCCTGTCCTCCCTCGCCCCAACTCTGCCCCTCTGTCTGGCTGTCCCCCACCGGAACCCCAAGGGCAGGCAGGGGAGAAGGGCAGGGGTGAGCGTCGGTGCTGGCAGAGAGCAGACCCAGCCTCCCAGCCTCACGCTGCCCGGAGCCCGCCGCCCAAGTCCCCCTCACGGGCCCAGGAGGCGGCCAGCGAGGCTCCAGGCCCTTCCCCGGGCTCTGCTCTTTGCAGCCCCGGGCCCCGGCAGCTTCTCCGGCTGGGGACCAGCCTGCTGGCCCGCGGGCACCTGCCCTGCCACCTGGGCAGTCTGGGGAGACGGGCCCAGAGCGGGCAGTCGGCCTAAGAGGCAGGAGAGCCTGGTGGTCACAAGGGTGACCTCAGCACTGGTTCCTGGCCCCAGACTCCGGCTGTGCCTCTCGCTGGCTGCGTGACTCGTGCCTTCTCCGCGCCTTGGTTTCCAGGTCTGAGACGGAAGCACCGTTGCCGACTGTGCCGGGGGACGGGAACGAAGGGGTCAGGGGATCCAGGAGCGGGCCCAGCACTGGAGGCCAGGGAGCAGCTGGGCAGGGAGCCCGGGGTGACTCCGAGCGCCACCAGCTGCTGTGCCCGGCCTTCTCCAAACTCTCCCTGCTGCCACTAAGGCCACCGTGAGAAGCCCTGACCGCGGGCAGCCCCGCTGGCCCTCAGCCCCAGGGACGGGCGAGTGTCCTCTCGCCCTGAGGAGCAGACCCATCTCCCAGGGTAGGAACCGGGCTGGCTGCGCAGTCGCTTGCCGGGGCCTGGGGAGGAGCTGGGTCTCCACCAGCAGGTCTGACTGCAGGCCACGTTCTTGACGCTGTCGGGCCCCAGGTCACCCCCCGTCGACATCTGCACCCCCACTTTGCAGGTGAGGAAACTGAGGCACAGAGGGTCTTCAGGGACTGCCCCATGCAGGGCGTGAGGGCCTCCTGGGGACACTCGGGTGGGGGCTTCCCCCGCTGCCCTCCCTCCTGCTGGGCCAGCGGTGGCCAGGTGTTATTTCTGGCAGCTCTCCTCCTCCCCAGAAGAGTCGAGAGGAGCCGCAGACAAAGGCAGGAAGCCGGGGCCCAGGGCCTGGCCCCTCAGCTGCTCCAGTCGGACCCCCAGCCCGCCTGGCCCGGGCCGCGGTCCAGGGTGACTCAGCCTGCGGCCAGGGGGGCGAAGGAGGCTCTATTTCAAGGCCTGCGGTCTCGGCCTCGCCCACGGACACTCTCACTGACTTGAGGATCTGCCAGGCCTGGAGGGAGCGGGGTGGGGACACAAGGCTGGACTCTCCTGTCCCGGGTTAATGCCCACACGGTGGACGGTGGCCTGCTCCTTGGGTTCAGAAACCCCGCCATCCCTGGGGTCCTCTCCTGGGGCTTCAGCTCCCACAGGGAGGACCCGCCGTCCCTTCCTCCCACACGCCAGCTGCCCCGGGTCTCTCTCCCCACCTAAAACCAGGGGAGGGAGTGCAGGGTGTGCTGTCCCTGGCCTGGGCCCCAAGGCATGGCGTCCTGCCTGCACCAGGGACTCGGTGTGCACTCCAGCACTCAGAACCCTGCGCGGCACACAGTAGGCGCTCACAGAATGTGTCAGATGAAGGAATCATGTACACAGTTGGTGCTCAATGAGCAGGCCTGCCTCCAGGGTTGCTGGAGGGTTGAGGGAGCCAACGCAGGCTGAGGCCCGCCCAGCGTAGGCTCTGAATGGTGCGGAGGGGGCCGCGGCTGGCCAGGGCCATGCCAGGCCGAGGGGCGCCAACGCTCCTAACAGTGCCCAGTCCACTCCGGCTCTCAGGCCCAGGAGGATCCGATGGGGAACAAAAAGGAGCTGCCGCTCCCCACCCCCGACCCACACACTGGAGCAATCTGAGCTTCCCCCAAGGCTCACCCCAGGTGTCTAGTGGCTTCTGGGTCCCATTAACAGAGGGTCCCCCTTATGCTCTTCCGGGCTCCCACAGCCTCCCACTGTGCAGAGAAAGCACGTGGCCTCCTTGCTCTGGCTTTGTTTTCCTGATACTTGTCCACCAGGAAAGACAGCGTGGGAAGGAGTGACAGCAGGAGAGCCGAAGGCACGGGAGCCACGGGAGCCACGGGGACTGTGGCAAGGTCTGGAGAGGGCTCCTACCTGCCAGATCTGCTGGTGTTCACAAGAGGCCGGAGACCTGGGCTTGCACATGGAATCCTCCAGTTTCCCCTAACACGAACCAGGGCCTCCAGGGCTGAATCCCACCTCAGACCAGCCTCGGTGACCTCTGGCTACTGCGTGATTTACTCCTTCCTCGGCACCCTGCACCCTGCAGAGGTCCAATCAGCCCCGAGACACAGGAACCCATACCTGATGCCACTGCAGCCTCTGGTCCCCCAACTAATGGACTGCCCACCCGGAAGACTTGTGGGAGTGCTCCCTGCAGCAGCCACACCTACCCAGGAGGAAGAGAGACGCTGGCCTGAGGGAATCAGGGGGGACCGAGGTCACCTCTGGGAGCACCCTCAGTACCGATGGTAAGAAGAACATTTCCGGTTCCCACAGGGCAGATCATTGCCTCAATGGGCCCCGAAGAAAGAATCCTACCTCCCAGCACCTCAGTCTTGCCAAATTGAGAATTTGAACTTGAACTGGGAACTAGATGACGTTACAAATTATTTTTTATATTCTCAGGGTAATGAAATCAGGATTATCATCGTCTTCTGATATACATTCCGGGTTGAAATATCATGACAGCTATAATTTTTTTAAAGAATTTCTTTTTTAGTTGTAGATGGACACAAAACCTTTGTTTATTTTTTTTTATGTGGTGCTGAGGGCCGAACCCATGCCTCACACATGCTAGGCGAGCGCTCCACCACTGAGCCCCAGCCCCAGCCCAGGCTATAATTCTTAAATGATATTAGTAACCGTAAAATCAAGGTTGGGGGACATGGAGGTTCTTACAGTACTTTTTTTCTGCATAGTTGAACTTTTTCATAATTAAAAAATTATGAAAAATATTTTTTTTTGTTTTGCTACTGAGGATTGAACCCAGGGGCACTTAACCACTGAGCCACATCCCAGCCCTTTTTATTTTTTATTTAGAAACAGCGTCTTGCTGAGTTGCTCAGGGCCTGGCTAAATTGCCGAGACTAGCTTTGAACTTGCGATCCTCCGTTGTTTTGTTTTATTTATTTGTTTATTTGTTTGTTTGTTTGTTTGTTTATTTTTGGTTTGTTTAATGCTACAGGTAAAGACAGTTGCTAACTGACTAGAGTCGCATATTTCACTGGGATGAGCGGGCTGGCTAGCTGTGGAGTATAATTTCTGTGACCTTGGGACAGTCACAACATTTTCAAGCCCAGCTGCATGGCACAGGTGATGGAGTGACCTCATGCCTTGGTCAGGAGAAAGGGGCGAGGCCAGGCAGAGGGGAGCCCTGCCTACTTGCATCCAGACGGGGTCACCTCTGAGGACGCAGCATCGACGTCACCCACCCCTTCTTCCCACACCTGGGGATCTGTCCTTCCTAAAGGTTCTTCTGCTGTGGCTGCGTGATCTCAAGGTCACATGCTTCTACAAATTTCAAGTATCCAGATCCACCAATGTGATGAGAGGGAACAGTGAGGGTCCGTTTTTGCCTGGGAATTACAAGTCGTTACAGCTGAGAGTTTTAATCGAGGCAGACCCTGAGGGATTGCTTGACCCCTCGGAGACTCAGTGTCCTCCTCTGTAAAACTGGGGTAAACAGAGTGCCCCCCTAAGGCAAGTTAAAAAGAAAAGCTGGGCACAGTGGTGTGCACCTATAATTCTACCAACTCAGGAGGCTGAGGCAGAAGGATGGTAAGTTTGAGGCCAGCCTCAGCAATTTGGCAAGAGCTTTTTCAAAATTAAAAAAAAAAAAAGTGGGGTATTGGGGCTGTAGGTCAGTGGTGGAACACCCTGGGTTCAATCCCCAGCACCAGGAAGATAAAAAGAGGACAAATGAGATTGAGAAACAAAGTGGGACCCCTGAGGGCCTTGCCAGAGTTCACACTGCTGTCCCCCACCTGCTAGTGACACCTGTTCCCATACTTCTCCCCAATAACCCCTAGGGCCCTCCCAGGTGCCCAGAGGTATAAATCTCAGCCCCAGAGATAAGCAGACTCCCCAGATTGCTAGTCAGCAGGACGTAGCCCAGAAAAGCTCGACCCACATTCCTTCCCACCCAGGGGTCCCATTCCCACTCACTGTCACGACCATCATCCCCATTTTTTTCAACTTTTTTTTTAGTTGTAAGTGAACACATACCTTTATTTTTATGTGGTGCTGAGGATGGAAGCCGGTGCCTCACAAATGCGAGGCAAGTGCTCTACCGCTGAGCTACAACCGCAGACCCCCTTCATCCCCATTTTAAAGACGGACACACTGAGACCCAATGGTGCATGTCTACAATCCCAGCTACTAGGGAGGCTGAGGCAGGAGGATCTCGAGTTCAAAGCCAGCCTGGGCAACTCAGCGAGACCCTGTCTCAAATACAATTCTCAAAGGACTGGATGTAGCTCTGGGGAAAGTGCTTGAGCTCGTGAGGCCCTGGGTTCAAGCCCCAGAACTACAAAAACATTTTTGGACAAGTGAGGTGGAGAGCAGCCCCTCCTCTCACCACACATTCCATGCCGGGGAACTTCTATGTGTCCAGGCACCCTGCCCCCAGGACCTACGACCTTCCAGCTGTGCCCACCCACACCCAGGAAAAGTGCAGACCACAGCCGCAGGATGACCAGCACGTTACCGGAAATATCAAAAACAGAGGAAACAGCCGAAAAGTCCATTCTCAGGGACATAGATGGAGGGAAAACGAACCCGAAACAGATTCAAATTCCAGCACACGGGAGAGAAGAGCAGAAGAGCAGACCACAGCTCTGTGCGCACACGGACCAGTGTGGAGCCCAAAACCCAGAGCAAAAAAAACAAATGAACCATCTGAGAACCCCTCCGTACAGAGGGTCAAAGAGCCCCACACACCAGGAAAAAGAACTCATGGCTTTGTAGGGAAACATTCCTCATTTTTCCCTTTTTTTTTTCTTTTTTCTTTCAGGCAAATGATTGAATGTGTAGTTTTAAATTTCACCTGGAGAAGTATGTGGTGGGAGGAAAAACACAGGGAGATCATTGTTTGAAAATTCAACTAACACGTTGTTTAAAAGTTAAAGCTCTCCTCTCTGTATCTAAGAGTAACTATTAGAACATCTGGAGACATGGAGGAGCTATTGGTCTGAATCGCATCCTGGTCTTTAATGGAAAACCCAGAGAAATCCCGGGCAGGTCTGCAGTTTGGTAGACAGTAGGGTTAATGGCAAGGTCGGCGGCACCGAAGTTTTCAGCTACACGAACCTACCAGGATAACAGAGGCGCTAAGGGGTGGGGAAGCTTGGCAAGTCTTTGTGCGATCTTGGCAGACTTTTTGTAAATCTCAGACTAGTCTCAAATAAAACGTGTATTTTTAAAATATCTGGAAGGTTCCACCCAAAGTGAGCAACAGAAGGTCTGGGGAAGAGGAAAGGACCCGGGGGTGGGGGTGGGGTTGCCCGGGGTCCTCAGTCTCGTCTGCAACAGGATGAATATTGGTTGTGGGTCAAATGGATTCTGCGCTCCCGTGCGCAATTCAAACTAATGTTTTAAATATTTTATAAGAAGACCTAGCTCCCTGAACCCGAGGTGTCATAGTTCGACTTTTCCCCCTAAATTACATTCCCCGAGGAACAGAAAACCCTCTGGGACGGAGGCTGAGACAGTGGCCCTGGTTCTCCTCGGCTCAGGGGACGGGGACCTCTAACGGGCCTCGGCGTCTCGTCTGGCAGAAGTTAATACGGAGCCTAGGGACCCCTGCTCTTCCGAGCGGGAATCCGGCAGGAGTGGTCCCAGGGCGCCACGAGCAGGTCCCCCACGGCCTCCACCCTCCAGCCTCCGGGCAGGGGCTCCCGCCCGGGGTGGGTGGGCACCGGGCCGAGGCCGAGGCTGGGGGCGCGAGAGGGCCTCTTCCACCCGGTCCCCAGGCTGTCCCCGCACCTCTCCATCCACGCCCGGCCTCGCCGAAGCCCTCCCCAGGTCCCGCCGTCGCGCCCACAGACCGCGACTTCCCGCGGCGGGATCGGCCCACGGGACCCCACTGCGGTCCCCGCGGCCCCCGAGAGCCTCCGGCAGGGGCAGGGACAGCGGCTGGGCCCTCCCCGGTGGAGGTCCGCGCAGGGCCCCTCGCGGGCCCTGGGACCGGCGAGTCCGGCGGGGGCTGGGGCCACTCACCGCGTGCGCCGGCGGGTCAGCAGCAGCAGCAGCAGCAGCGCGGCCAGGAGGCCGAGGAGCGCGGCCCAGGACATGGCAGCGGCGGGCGCGGTCCCTCCAGGTAGGCAGCGCACGGCGGCCCGCGGTCCCTAGACCCCGCCGCCGCCCCGCCCCAGCGCCGCAGCCCGCGGACGGCCCCCGCCCCCGCCCGGGGCCACGTGGAGGGGACGGCGGGCGGAGGGGGCGCGGGGGAGGAGGGGGCGGGAGCGACCCGGCGAGGGCGGCGCGAGGGGCGATGGAATGCCTGGGGGAGGGGCGGGGGAGGGACCCGCGGGCCCAGGCCGAGGGGGAAGCCGGGGACAGGCGGGCTTTCCCACCGCCGCGGCTGAAGCCCGTCCGGCTCCCGAGCCTCGCTCCCGGTCCCAGGCGCTGAGTTCCCCCCCGTCGGGCTGGGCTGCGAGGCTGGACTCCAGCGCTCCTGCTCCTCGGTGTATTGTCGTCGGGAACTCCAGCCCGAGAGGAGGAGAGCCGCCCAGCAGGTCGTCGCCGCCGTGCGGGGCAGTCCGCGGGGCAGTCCGTGCAGAGCACCGACCTGTTCCCGAGCTTTTAGGGCCTCAGGATGCCGTGGCCGCTGGTGCCCAGGGTGCCAGCCCCCGGGCCTGTGTCTCTGCAAGGGACCTCCCCGGGTGCCGAGAGGACCTGGGCTTCCCGTTTGCAGGGAGCAAACCTGGGCCTGGCTGCAGGTTGGCTCCCCAGAAGCTCCCGCTGTCCCCCTTCCCATTTCCACCCCGGGGAGCCTGGAGCAGGTAGCTTAGGGCAGTCCAGCTGCCAGGTGGAGACGTACTTTCCGCAGAGGGTTGTGAGGAACTGACCACCTTGTCACTAAAAAGGAAGTACCAACTGCCCAGGGCTCGGTGCAGGTAAGTTCCGTGAAAAGATGGGCCAAGGTGGTCTGGCTGGGTCCTGTGCCTCCCTGCTGTTCAGGCAAGGTTTGGGCAAGTTTGGTCTCCAGCGTCACCCTCATCTCCCTACAGGCCAGGCTCCCCACGGAAGTCAGAAGATCTCACCAGAAACTTGGTCACCACAGTCCCCATTCCTGCTCACAATGGCACTCCTCAGCAGGCAAGGCCACAGTCTTTACAAGGCCCCCCAAGGACCCCCAGATCCTCCCAGCCCACCTGCTCCTCCCCCGCTCCAGCCCTGCTCTCCCTTCCCACTCTGCAGCAGTCACACTGATCTCCCTGTCCCTCCCAGAGGTGCCAGCTGCCTTGGCACCTGCTGTTCCCTCGCCCAGAAGCTCTCCCCAGGGAGATGCACGCCTCACTCTTTTTGTCATGCCCCCCCACGTCGTCTCTGCTCATGACGGTGGCCCTAAAGCAGTCACCCTCACTCTGCTGCTTTAACCCGTTGGACCAGGGTTGGGGTGACACCTGTGTGTCCCACGATCCTGCTGCTAGACGTCTTGATTTCGGCCGTCAGGGAGCCAGGTGAGCTTCACGTGGCCTCAGCAGACCCAGAACAGAAGGAGTTTCCGCTTGTCTGAGGAGAAAGCCAACAACTCCAAGAAGGCTGCCTGGGGCCGGGAGGGTCTTCCAAACCTGCGGCCTCCCTCAGTGGGCTTCACCGCGACTCAGCCAGCGCCCGGCCAGGGGACCTGGGCAGTCTGCTCCATCTCTCAGCTGGGGCTCCTGGCTGATTTGATGGGGAAGAGAACCTCATGGGGTCAAGGTGGAGCAGTGACCTGATCCAGGTGACACACCTGTCCAAGAGCCAGGTGTGGGTAAACATGGCCAGGGTCCTGTCTCAGTAGGAAGAACAGTGCCTTCCGCACAGGGCTGAGGGGGTGTTAAATGAGAGAGAATGATTCACCCAGCACAGGGCCGGGCACACTGTGGGTGACTGAAGAAGGTCAGCTCTTCGACGGCCACCCCGGCTCAGTCAGTCCCCACCATCAGTCTCCCTGGATACCCTCTTCCCACCTCCACTTGGGGCAAACTCCCTGGGAAGCAACCCGAGCTGCTCACACCAGAGAGAGAGAAGGCTGTGCTGGAGCCCCTCACCCACAGAACCCGACTGGTTCAGAGCGGGCATTAGGAAGGCCTCCTGGCTGTCCCCAGAGAGTGGACCACAGTTGGGCTGCGCCAGTCCAGGGGTACCCTGTGTGCCAGGGATTGGTCCAGAGGTGGACACCTTCCGGAAATATGTGTAAGTTTCTGGAAAATGTTTCTATTTGCCTCCTCTGGACTTTGGGGATCATTGTGAAAGGACAAGATGGGGGCGTGGAAGGCCAGGGATGTTGCAAAGTTCCAAACCGGAGCTGCAGAACCGCCACCCCTGGAAGCCCCACCCAGACTTGTTCCATGAGATGATCTAAGGTTGGCTCATCGTGAGTCAGACTCTGTCTTCCATTCCTAAGACGACCTCTGCGATGGCCGTAGGGAGGACTGAGCTAATCGGGCATCCAAAGCACCTTGTGCAGGACTCGCCCTGGTAAGAACTCAGAGCAGGGAAACTCAGATCTGGCTGTGCCTTCTGGCGAGGACAGGCGGCCCTGAAAAGCAGCCAGAGTTCAAACTCCCCCCGAGGACTGGGAGGACCCTGCCGAGGCCTGGGCTGCTGTGGCCTCAAGGACAAAGAGGAGTGAGGGCTGCCCCAAAGGTCACCTGCTGGCCCTCCACAGAGGAACTGGAGTACAGGACCTGAGCGTCAAGTTCCCACCCCAGAGTCCCTCACATCACACACAATCCTGGGCAAGTCACTTCACCTCTCTGAGCCCTGACCTCCGCATCTGTGCCATGGGCACGTGGCTGGTGATCTCAGGGGTTGCCCACAAGGCTGACCTTGGCATCCAAGGCTTCATCTGGGAAGTGGAAGCCACAGGCTCATCCACCTCCCAGGAAACTCTGCTGTGCCAAGCAGCAGGACCTTCTGCTGGACGAGTCCAGTGTGTCCAGATGTCTGCTGTCCCCAGAAATAAGACATCTGCGCAAGTGTCCCTTTCCACCCAGCCTCCGTCCGATGACTTAACGTGGCTGCCACAGGGTCAGGAGGACAGGGTCAGGACCCCGCCGTCAGAACATGGAGTGTGCCCGGAAGGGCCCCCTGGGCGCCCTACACCCCGGCTTTCTGTCTCCTGGGCCTGTGTGTCTGCATCCTAACGACTAGGAACACATGGTATGGAGAAAGGAGGACATCGGGTGTGTCATCTTCTTCAGAGCTGACACCCACCCCGTCAGAGGGGGCAGTCTTCAGTGTGTGGTAACTGTAGCTCTCACTTGAGGAGGTGATTGTTAGGGTTTGGATAGGAGGTGTCCCCGGGCCCCTGTTAAAGGAGTGTGGAGGTGAAATGCCTCCATTATGAGTCTCGTGACCTGACTGGTCCATCCAAGTTTGAATGACCCCTCTGGATGGTGACTGTCAGCAGGTGGGATGTGACTGGAGGAGGTGGGTCCCTGGGGCCCTTCCCCTCTGCTTCCTCAATGCCATAAGGGACAGCTTTTCCCTGCGGGGCCAAGTGTTGTCCGTCTATGGACTGAGACTCTGAAACCATGAACCCCAAATAAATACATGTTTCCTTCTCTAAATTGTCCTTGTCAGGTGTTTTGCTCACAATGACACAAAAACTGACTAAAACAGTAATTAAGGTCATTTGAAACTCTTTTCCAGAAAATCGCATTTACTCCCCACAGGGATCCTATAAAATGGGTACTATCATTATTCCCAAACTGCAGATGGGGAAACCGAGGTCCAGAGAGGGTCAGTAACTTACGCAAGGTCACAGAGTACTTCCTCTGATCAGCCAGGGCATGGACTGCCAACACCTCTCTGGAAGCCCCTCTGCCCTTTTGGTTCTGGCAAATCTGTTATGGGGAGGGATGTTACCCTGGTCTTCTGAGTCACCAAGACAGGATGAGATGTGACATTTCTAGGAGGGAAATGAGGAGGGAGCCAGAGGAAGCTGAGAGAAAGAGATGGGAAAAAATGGAAAGAAAGGAGGTAGGGAAACGAGGCGGGACAGGATGGGGGCGTGGCTCCAGCCCAGGAGCGGGAGGGGGCGTGGCTCCAGCC